CTCGGGCCGGTTTCTTAGTCTGTGCACGTTGCGCTTTTCTTCCTCCCCTTTTTATGTCTTCCTTTTGCAGAGGGAGCTAATGGCGTGGGTGACATTGGATAGCGCAGAAGTTAAGCCCCTCGTTCACACACACACACACACACACACACACACACACACACACTTCGAGGCTGCTGCTGCGCATGGGTGTGCTCATCCCCCCACCCCCGCCTCGCGCCGCCCTGACAAAGCGTGGAAGATTTTGGCTGGTTCATCTTCCTCCTGGTCGCTCGCAGGGTTTTGGAAATTCCCCAGTAAAGCCACAAAGAGCGGCCAAGGACAAGAATCGAAGATGCCTTGCCTCGCCCCATCCGCGGTAACGCTCTGAGCTTTGAAGTAGCCAGGTCTTGGATAAAGGGTGCAAAACCACCCGTGACATTACAGCGGGGTGTGTTTCCCGTTCTCTGAGGCTTTCTTTTCACAACTTTATATAAGTCTTTGACTTTGACGTCGTTTGCTACTTCAGCGGTAAGTCAGTAGGTCTCGTGAAGGCAGCCTTCACATGAAAACATCTTCCGTGTTTAAAAGCACAGGGAAATAGCCGATTTTTTTTTTTCGTGCTCCATTGAGAAACTCATTTAGGGCCTGCTCCTCTCAAATCCACTAGTGCACTCTCTTCTGAGTGAAGTGGCTGCCTCCAACACCCAGTTTAATGATCGCCGGGTGTTCCTGTACTGTTACCATTTCCCAGAGCTGCAGTGATCTGGGAAGTGGCTGCAGATTCCCAGAGAGCGGACAAGGTCAACCTGAAACTTGCAAGACATTGACCATCTCTGAAAGGGCTTGGCATTTACATCGCCGTGAATCATAACTCCCTCACGCATTCAGTAATGAAAACAGAAGCAAAAGCTCAAAATAAGGCTTGGCGTGTATCCTACCATGATGGAAGGGCAGGGGTTTGTCTGAGAAAAGACTGAGTTGCGGTGTCTGGATGCTTTAGAATTCATTTTGGCTTCTTCCCAAAGATAAACACAAACATCAGTTCTACAAACAAAGGGGCTACAAACAAATGAAGTAGACAGGAGTCATTATTTTCTTTAGGTCCATATGAAATACACCCTAAATCAGGCATGGTGATGCAGGCCTGTAATCCCAGCACTAGAGAGGCCGAGGCAGGAGGATCACACCTAGTTCCAGGCTAGCCTGGGCTACATAGTTCAAGGCCAGCCTGAACCACATAGCAAAACCTGTCTCAAAAAGAGAGACAGACAGAGAGAGAGGGAGAGGAGGAGGAAAGGAGGAAAGAAAGATACTGTCCAACTGTTTATATCTTTGACTTTATGCTCAGTAAGTAAATCTTCAGATTTTATATCCCTCAGGTTTCTGAATTGGACACGAATGTTTTCTTGTCTGGAAATAATTTCAATTGGTATCTGGCATACACCAGGTCCTGTTCATTCTTCTTCCTGAATAGTTCTTTTCCTTCGCTTCCCTGTTGTAATTTACAGTTTCCAAACTGCCCATTTTTCATAGATCTGCTATTTCCAGCTAGGGCCTTCTCACCTGGCTCAGGGCTGTCTAGCTGATCTGCAACAGTTCCTGCTTCCCTCCCCTCCCCTCCCCTCCCCTCCCCTCTTCAGCAGAACACTGGATTTAACCTTTACTAGGTCCAAGAATCACCTGTGAGAGGCTCTTCAAAAACAAATCCCATGGGCCGGGCTTTAGCTCAGTGGCACCTCCCCTGCCATGCAAGTGCAAGGTCCTGAGTTAGATCCCTGGCACCCCCACCACCACATGCCAAAAATCAATCAATCCTAGCAGAGTGGTGGTGCACTCCAGGGGCTGAGACAAAATTTAATAACTTAGTGAGACTCTGTGTCAAAGTGTGGGGGGGGTGGCTCTAGCTCAGTGAGCAAGGATTAGGACCAACAGTCAGTCCCCCACCCCACCCTTGCAAAAGAGCACAAATCCAAATTGCCAACAAGATCTGAAGAACTGTTTACTAAATGTCCTCGGGGAATGGTTGTCAGTAGGTAAATATGGGAAACAGTGCCTAGCCGGAACTAAATGAAGACTGCTTCCGGGGCAATCTCCTTTTGCATATCCCTGCAAGCGGCCTCCACCCCCATCCCCACCCTGAGCTCCCAGGCCACTGCCCAGACTTCCTCGATCACTGGCTCAGAGTTATTCTGGGAATAAAAGCCGGATTCTTCCTGCTTTCTACCCTTCCTAAATCTCGAACATTTATAATGATCATTACTGTGGCTTTTATAGCTGAAAAATGAAAGGGAATATTATTAACTGTGACACCAGGACAAGAGGATCTACCAGGACTGTCTCAGGCAGACCTGAATGTAAGGCCACTCTGCAGGTAGCACAATATATGCGATATATTTACTTACACTTTAAAATTTTCTGGATAAAATTCTAAAGGTCAGGAAGCATGTCCTACTCATGAGGCATTTTTGTTTCCCTAGAGGTTAGGACAGGACCACGTATTCAGTAGGTAGTGTGAGACCTGACTGAGCCGGAATGACTCCATGTTGACCTGCTAATGACCCCAGAGGCTGACGCATACCTCTGTACAGTATTTTTCCTGCAGCCGCAAAACAGCCCTGATCTGTGACTGAACTTTTACATTGTATATTGCATAGCTTTGTAGTTTTGATCTCTGATTGTGAGATATGCTTAAGAGCTCTGGAAAATTAGATGAGATCTGTGCTGTATACAGAGACCCAAAGTTAATTGTTTTCCTGCTTGTTTGTTGGAGATGCCTTGGAGACCTTAGACCATCCCGTAAGCATCTGTTAACCATCAACATGTGGCTGCCAAATAGGGACAGCTGGACCCCAGTGCGAACCAGCAGACCATGACCCTTTGCCACCTGACTGCAAGCTGTGAATGTTAACTTCCCCTGTACCCCCTTAGAAGAGGACCTCAGGCCCTGAGCTAGCGCCTCTCTGAGCTACTCGGCTCCGGGAGTGCCGTCTGGCCGGACTAATAAAGGTCTGTTTCATTTCCAACTTGTCTGGTGTGCTCCTTCCCGGGTGAGACTCAAGGCTGTGGAGCTCCTCGGAGCGGTTGGTCAGGCTCTAGGTCTTACAGTAGGTGTTTAATAAATGTATAAAAATTAATGTTCAAGTTTACAAGTAGTCCATGTGAATTTGACTAGGGTGACATCAATTCACCTAGCTCCTCCTGGGAAAGTCAGGTCTTGAACTGGTAAAAAAACAAAAGACACAACCTACAGGGCCAGGGATTTAGCTCAGTGGTACTGCGCCTGCCTCGTAAACTAAGGTCTGATTTGGATCCCCAGTACTGGGGGCAGGGACAGCACACACAACCAGAACCCAGGTCCAGTAATGACCCATGGCAAGCCTGACCTGGGCAAAAGTTTCTTGAAATTAGAGAACAAATGTCCAGCTTTCTTGGAGACAAATCCTCTGGAAGTTTCTGGACTGAGTGAGCAGCAGTGAAGTAACCTGCTGCATAGCCTGAACTGATTTTATTTCCATAAGTGGAACAATGAGGCTATCAGATGTACCAATTCTCCAGTAATTCTGGGAAAGAATGGGCAATGTCTGACAACAACCCTCCTAAACAAGGTAAAACATAATTTGGCTTATGTGATCCAATTCTCACTGAGCAGAATGCCTGTAAATATATAACCAGGTAACCAGATGAAAAGGTGTTTGCTTGGCAGTGACCATAAGCACAGAAAGACCCCTCTGTTCTCTTCCTGCCTTTGCTTCTCTCCCTTCCCAGGAATTCTGGATCAACATACCAGGAAAATGTGAACTGTAACCCCCTGGGGCTTGGAGTGTAGCTCAGGGGTACAGAGACACAGTGAGTGTTTAGCATGTAAAAGGCTCTAGGTTCAATTCTCAGCTCCAGTACATAAATGACAAATAAATACTGACTCCCTTGAAACACTCCCTAAACAGTGGCCAGGCCAGGCATACACTTGGCAGCTAACCCGTGCTCCAGAGAGATTTGCAAGATGAGTCTTTTGGATAAAGATTAAAGAAACTGTAGGAGTAACTGAATTCAAACAGGCTGACCAAGACTCCCCTTGACTAACTCTATTAAGGCTCCACTCAGCCCTCTGTGCCTCAACCCTGAGCATCAGCTCCTGGTAGAGCCTCATTTCATCAAAACTCCTGCTGGGACGGCTTCATGAG